AAACGAGATCAGCTCAGTTTGGTTGCAGGAATTGTGAAAAGTTGCTCAGGCCTTCTCAATGTGGGGTTGCTGCACCTGACGCCTGCAGACCTCGAAGATTCACCGCATCAAGAAAAGCAGATTTGCACACATCAGGCAAGAAGTGAGGCACCTGCCTGCAATTGGTAGAATCTGCTTTTGCAAGGGTTTGCTTAGCAGCTGCGCTAAGACACCAGAATTGCAGCAAAACCTTACAGGAGCAAGATGAGCAAGCTGTGCAGTAAGGATGCTTGAGAGCAGAAGGGAGACGCCAGAGCAGACATATCATTCCCGAGTCTCGAGACTGGCGACGCCGCCATGGAGCTATCGAGCCGGCCCGGCGCGGGCTGCAGGTCCACTGGGCGCAGGCTGCCCAGGCGGCCCAGGATCAGGCTGAGGCTGACGTTGCTGGCGGCTTTAGCGGCCTTGTCAGCCTGGCAGCCCGACATGCACTGCTCGCTGCTACCCGAAAGTTCCTGGATTCGCGGTGTCACATCGCATGTTCGACTTGAGACTATATGTTCTGACCTTGCGTTCAGACGGCACAGAAAAGAAGGGCCGCATAGCACGCTTAACTTATCCATTACCTATGCTGGCAATTCCGTAGCCGAGGTCTCGGAACCAACTTACCCCCACATTCTCTCGCACACCGACCTCGCGCCGTGCCTTCGAGAACTAAGCGGGCGACAGGAAAGTCAATGAGGGCCTTGTCGGCAGAATTGCTGTTGCTTTTCTTTCAGAGCCAGAGGTGCCCTCTTGGCTCTCGCCGCGCCTTTGCCTGCGGCCGCGGCTCCCGCGGCTCCGGCTCCGGCCCTACAGGACCCCAGTTTGACGACTTTTGCAGCCGTGAAGTTGTGTGGAGTTCAGTGTCAACGACCGTAGGAGTGGAGCTGCTGTGCGACTGTCATGTGTGCTTGCCATAGCCCAGAGCTTCGAAAGACGAGAACGATGCATCCCGCACAGACTAAAGGTCGAAAACATGCCGAAACACTAAGGCTCGCACGTTGCGATGCTGTTTGTAGCAGAAGTGAGTCAGTCTGTAATTGCATCGGCACGCTGTGAAGCGGTGGAAGAACCCGTCGGACAGCAATCCAGGCAGGGACTGGCAGTGATGCATTAGACAAGGCACTGGGTGACATCCCGTGGGATGAGCCAAAGCGGAAGAAGACACCGCTGCCGCAACGTGGCCTCAACTATGAGAAGCTGCACGACGTCATCTTGCGCAGCTGCACGACAGACTTGATTGAACCCTTATACAAAGCGAGCATGCACAGATGTGAACCAATTGCGGCATGCTGGAAGAAAGACTAGCTTGTGTGCTGCAAAACCGCCCATGCCTGGCATGGCTCATGGAACATGTCACAATGCTGAAGGGACCCACGAAACCTTGCAAGGCAGCTTGCAGACGAATTCACTCGCGCTTTCCAGCGCACCCAGTGGGGTGTGAATGGACGAGTGGAGCCTCGATACTTCTCTGATGGTTTTGTATTTCGTGGCTTGGCAGAGAATTCGGTCCTTGATGCATCAGCCGCGCAAACCGTTGTTTAGACGGCACTTGCATCTTTTGCTTCGGCTGCTTGTCATACGAGGCGATCCAGATGTGACCACAAATGGTATTCGCGAATACGCCAAGGGCACTGGCACTGTACTGTCTGGCTGCAAAGCCGATGCTGTCGCACCTTGGGATTGTTCAAAAGTACGTATGAGCATACGACATGGGACCAAAGGAGACCCCTTTCATGGCTCCAGGGGGCGTTTCAGGGCTCTTTGAGTTGAGACAATCGGTTGCCTCTACCAACTATTGCGTGTCCGTGCTTTCTTCTTCACTATGCTGCCGGACATGCCACCTCCGTGCTTTCGAGATGCAGCCGTCGCCAGGTAGGTACTTCTCCATAGCCGGTTGTTACACGGCTTAAGCTTGTCTGCCGGTAGCCGGCTTTGTCCTCGGCACATCCTTGGATCGTAAGACCGTGCTTTCAGTGACGGCAAAGATGGGTGCAGATGGCGATGGTGCGCAGACGTGACACGACGAGCTGCAGGCAGAGGGAGCGGAGTGCCCAAAAACGATGACATGGACGTCGGTGATGCTGTCGTCGTCTTATCACACTTCGATGGCCCTATTAATCGCGACAGGGAAAATGAAGGCAATCGGGTCGTTTGTCGTCACAACTTCCGTTAATGTCTTCGGCATGGGTTTACGACACCGACCGAGGATGTCCAGATAATCGAGCCGGACAAGTTTGCAATTCGGTGGCGCATTGAGGGCACGGCGAATGTGCCTTTCCCGGGTCTGAAGATAAAGCCGTACATCGCAGCTCGCCGATGGAATATGAGGGCCGCACCTTGTCCACTTCCGGGCTTGCTGCAAGATCTACCAACTGCTTTCCGCCGGCACCCGTGCAAAAGCATCCGTGTCCGACCACGGAAGTGATTGAGCAGCACCCCAGCGTCCTAATTCCCAGCCAACCGTGTGTCAGGTCACCAGTACCTTCACTGTGAATGAAAATGGATTGGTGGACTCCGAAACGGAACTTTGGCTCAATAGATCAGTAGATGGGAGGGAGCAGACATGAGCGGAGGAAGCAAGATAGACCTTCAGTTTTACCTCCCAGATTGCTATTGTTTTCCAGTGTTTTGTGATCTGGTGGCGTGTATGTGTATATATACATATATATATATATCGTAATATAGTTGTATGTATGTATGTATGTATGTTTGTCTGTAACTGTATGTATGTATGTATGCATGTATGTATGTATGTATGCATGTATGCATGTATACAAGCTGTACTAATGTTACTAACGCTTAAGTGGGTTTCTTCAATGTGTTGCTGTTCCTTGTTCGTTCTTTTTTGCAAACTGTTGGTAAACTCGTTAATGCACTGTTTTTGTCCGGCGGTGTTTTTGATTTTATTTCGTTCGACTGTACTACTACTGTGCAACTGTAAAGTGCCAGGCCTGGTCGATTGTGGGGGGGAGTGTATGTTGAAGGAAAAGTCTTGTTGAAGGTGGCGGCGCCGGTACGGGGCCGTGCGCTGGGAGACATTTTCATGTTGACGCCAGACGGCGTCGAGGCCAAAACTCGAGCGAAACGCACATTTTGTCTAGATCAAGAGCTTTCGCAGGTGCCGAAAACACTAGAAGGTCCTAGGAACTTTTTGCGAAAATG